AACTTTTTCACAAAAAATTAATTTTTTTAACTTAAATTTTGAAAATGTTCCGGAAGGTCTGACACTTTTATATATATCTTAAATTAAAGCTAATGCTAATATGCTTTATCATAAAAAAAAAAATTTCGGACTTTATCTTATCTTCATGGTGAAAATGGCTACCGAATGCTATTTTTGTGTGAAAATTTTCGATTTTGTATTTTCCATTTTTAACTTTATTATGCTATAACTTTTTGAAAAATGTATGAATCATTACAATTTTTTTATGAGAAGTAGTATTTATATAGATCTTTCATTCGACATACTGTTTTTATAAATCGGACCATTTTCCTATATACGGGGGGGGTTTCAATCTAAAAAATGCATATAGAAAGTAGAACTTTTTCAACTTAAATTTTAAAAGTGTTCCGGAAAGTCTGATACTTTTCTATATATATTAAATTAAAGCTAATGTAATATACTTTATCATGGAAAAAAAAAATTTCGGACTTTATTTTATCTTCAAGGTGAAAATGGCTACCAAATGCTATTATTGTGTGAAAATTCTCAATTTTATTTTTTACATTTTTAACATTATAATGCTATAACTTATTGAAAAGTGTATTGATCAATATAATTTTTTTATGGGAAATACTATTTTCTAATAATCTCTTTTTTATTCGACATACTTTGTCTTAATCAGGATATTAATAAGGAACTAGCAGTTTATGAAGCTTTTGGAATAATCCACCAATTTTTTAAAATTAAACACTATCTAAAGATTTGCATCGAAGCGTTTTTTTTTGATAGTGATTTTAATCACTGTCAGATATCATTATACTTGATCCAACTATGCCACGTCACCACTGTGCCGCGACCCCCCTGTGCTGGGTTTTTTTTTTAAATTTTACTGTCAGGGAGAGAAGTATTCTTAAGAAATCACACTGTAAATACAGTGTGATTGCTTTAACTAAGCCTCACTAAATTACTTCGAAAGTATTAGAAGTAATAAGTATTTCATTTTTTTGTATTTAAATTTTTTTGATCTATTTTACTTGTATTTGAATTCCGAATAATTTTTGACTGTCGAATAATATAAAATAGTTTTTAAATGAACATTTTTTTTAAATCTAATATCAAAAATTTGAGATTTCTATTTGGAAGTCTAAAGTTGATATGAGATTTTAATATTAAATGGTAGCCGACAATTAATTTTTTGTTTAAACCACCACCTCAACAACAAAGAATCATTATTGTTAAAAAATAAAATAATAATAAAATCTTATATTTTCGAATATATTTTGTGAGGTGTAATTAAAAACTTAATCTGTATTTATATTTTAACAAAATATTATAAAATTTAAGTCGATATGTATAATTATATAAATAAATTTATTTTGACCCAACATTTTTCTATGAATATTTTAAAATATTAAATATGAAGTGTAATATTAATCAAATATATAATCCTACAAATTAAATATAACATTAAAACTAATACATATTGTAAACATTTCTCATCACGTGATTGAATGTTAAAGGTGCAATTACTAAAAAGACTCATTTCGATCTCTTTGTGATTTTCGGTACTTTTTGATGAGATTTGAAAAAGATTCTTGTATTTTATCAGAAAATTCCCCTATATGTGTACCACTACTGAATATGTATAAAATACTTTATTTTGTATCAGTTGTTAGTTACCAAAAGTTAATAAATCAGTCGAATTGAGGACAATAGTAACATTTAATATTTATTTGATAACTCGTTATTTAAAAAGTTGTGTTTTAGAATATAATTTTAAATAAAAATAAAAATTTACTGAAAATATAAAATAGCGATAGGAAAAAAATTTGAAAATTTGAACTCGCCAATGATTTGGGACTTTTTTTGAACACATTCTTCATTAGATAATTATGTATTTTGATCTATTAGATTTATGTAGTCAGTTAAATTTTTGGTATTCAATATGTAGACATCCACAATGAATATGATTAGTATTCACAAATAATATTATGCTATTGTTACTTTTCTTTTTGGAGAAATACTATATAAGAGTAATTAACAATATGAATTTAATTTCTTTTTAATAGTAACACGTTACTATTAATATTTTTTATATGAGTGCCAATTATTTTCACGCTGAAATGTCGATTATGGTATTGTGAAAACAAATTAATAATAATATAATACTAAAAGAAAACTAAAATATCCAATGAATTTTACAAATTTATCATCATTTAATAAAGGCTTTGCCTTGTCGATAAAGTGACTCCTCTCTGACACAAAATTATTCAGTGAAACAAAAGACGCACAGTTCCAAGATATGTTTCTTTATACTGGTTATTATATTATGGTCACACCCAGAGAAAAACCTCGACCTATATAATAAATTCATTGTTCAATTTGATAAAATATTATTGAACCTATGATAAATTTATCAATATGATAATTTTTTTTCTTGTCTTGAACAATAATTTATAAGAATAATTATTTTGTTCGTATTAATAAAACATTATCATAAACCCTTGATAAAATTTGCCTATCAAAATTGATTGAAGTTTTTCTTTAGGTGTATAATACTGGCTATATGATACTGGAAGATATTGGTTTCTTCCCAGTTATTTTTCTTTCGTTACCTTCATCAGCTTTTTTTTCTCGTACTTACAAATTATATATATAAAATATTATAAAGTTATGTTTATTAAAGTACATGTATTTAAATTAATTGTTCCTAATCTTAATATATTTAAGCTTTTTTTTTTTTTTTTATGTCTGTTGCCACTTTTTCTCAGTTTTCACTGAACCGATTTCTTTCGACAATATGTCAAAAGATCGCAAATCGTATCTAGTTGAAGACATTACCCTTAAAAATTGAAAAATTTTCCCCCGTTCCACGCAAATGGGGAGAATATCCAAAAAAATTACAAATTTAAAAATCGGTAAATTTTGACTTTTACTTCAGTTTTTTTTTTTAAACTTCTATAACTTTTTCAAATATTAACAAATCAAAATAATATTTTTTTATATTGAAACCTTAGATATTTCTCTTTCATTTGATATCATTTTTTTCTGAAAATCTAACACTTATTCTTCTCACAGGGGACATTTAAAATAATAACTTTTTTACAAAAACTAACTTTTTCAACTTAACTTTTCAAAATGTTCTGGAAATACTGCGTCCTTTAAACATATGTCAAATTAAAGCTTATGCCATGCACTATAAAATTCAAAAAAAAAAAAATTGTCTCGACGACCTATCTTCTATGCGCAAATGGCAATCGTATTCTGAAATATGTTTTTTGTATTAAAATTTTGGGTTTTGAATTTTATTTTATTTTAAAATATCTTATTAGGGGAATACACTGATTTTCATGAATATTATATAATTTAATTAACATAGAATACGAAACATAGTGCGACGAAAGCGACGAATAGTTGCCGAATCAGTAACACTCGTGTCTTTCACGCATAGGGTACAAGGTTCAAATCCGTCTGTGGCAATTAATATTTTTGCATTTTTTTTTGAGTTAGAATAAATATTTCAAATCATTGGATATTTAACTCATTTAGATTCAATAACTTCAATAAATATAAAGGATCCTATCACTATAGTCTCCCCTCGTGAGAAGAAATTTATATTCATGTTAATATTATTTTACTATATAGTTTTTTTTGTGGCTTCGATTTATTTTGCCAACCCTCACTAGACCTACTTTTTTCAACAATATGTCAAATGATTAAAATTCGTATTTAGTTTAAGTTATTACTCTTAAAAATCGAAAAAATATTCCTTATTTAAATAAAAAGTAGCTTAACCAGCTTTTTCCATACAAACAATTAAAATCAATAATTTCTAATATTTATAAAGTATTTATTGTCGAATTAAATTTAATTTAGATATGATAAAAGTATTCAACTACAAAATTAAATCATTATACTTTGTAATTTAATAATTTTTTTTACTTTATTTGTGTGTGCTACTACTAGACTATAATATTCCAAATTTGTTGGTAACATGTTGCTATATAAATCATTTCTAAAAAAAAATGATTTTTAGTTTCACCTCAATTTAACGATAGATTTTTACAATTATAATCAAATTTTATAATACGCTCAATTGAGTAAATCTTTTTAACAACAATTTTTTTTGCTTGAAATGCTTGAGGATATATCCATGTTTGCAGTGAGTTCTAACGTTTAGGACTCATTGCAGAGTCCATCTTCAGAGTGATGGTTGCTAGTCGGTGGCTGCAACTATACTGGTGGCTTATCTTGATAACAGTCTGCTTTTATAAAATTGACAACATCTAGTTTTTGACTAACGTTGTTTACCGTATCCGGGTTTTTGACTAATGTTGCTGACCGTTTCGGGTTTTTGATTAATGTTGTTGACAACATTTCAATTTTTGACTAAAGTTGTTTACGGCATTCTTGACATTTCGGTCTTCCTTTCCTACACTGGCAATTATTTGTTATGCTGATTGTAGCCTTTTCGTATATTGAATTATTTTCGGTGTTGTTGGTTGATTTCCTTTTTGTCTGGTGTATGATAGGGTATCTAAGTTTTTCTGATTTTCCATCCATCTTCTCTGTTGAAATTTTCCGGACATTTTTCGATTTCTATTGCTTCCTTGTACATCCGTTTGCTAAAATGACTTTCTTTGTTTAGTATTTTTACTTTATCGAATTGTGGGCGTTCATCGTTTCCGCCAAAATTGACCGTATCGTTTCCGCCAAATCTGAATAAGGTCGTTTTTTCGTTTCCGCCAAACTGATCTTCTACCTGTCTATCTACTAAAAAATTTAAGAACCATTTAGCTTTATCCATGGTAGGCAGATTCCCGTACCAAAATTTTATCACATAAATACACTTTTATAAACAAAATATGGCGTTTTACCAAAGGTAAATAAATTATAATAGATAACTGTCTTAAGTATGTATATATATTTTTGTAATAAATAATAAAAGTATAGTTTATAAAAAAATATAGTCATCAAAACATTGAAATAAAATTCTAATATTAATTATAAGCTTAAAAAATATTTAATATATGAAATAATATAATAAAAAATAGATCTATCAACGAAACAATCAGACATGTCTTCTGGATTTAAAAAAGTTAACCCGAAGGTACCTTTTAACCATTCACATGTTTTATAAGCATTACTCAAACCTTACTCTTAAAGTTTTCTGTACCAACTCTGGGTTAAGTGAAATCTACAACCAATTATAGTAATTAATGGCCACACAATTAGAGCAGCTTTGTGAATAGAAACTTCGAAATCGACAGTTATATTTTCAGGATACAGTAATAACTTTTTTTCAGTGCATTTATATTTTATAACCTCAAAAGCTTCTTTATAAGTCTCTATAAATTTATTTTTTAATAAACAAAAAACAAGTGGTACATAGTAATTGTTTATATATCCGTGTATGGTAAATAATTGTACAAAATGTTTTGGGCAATACTGAAAAGTTCCATCTACATATATTGATTTGGAATTGCAAAGAAATTTGAGGTTTGTATCACAAGAAAAAATAATAATATTTTTCTCATGATCGTTGTGTAATAAAAACTGTTCTTCGCGCGTTGTTAGTATTTCTGTATGATCAATAATTGTATGTAATTCACTTATAGATTCTGGATTAGTAGGAAAAAATTGTCGTCTAGTGCGATAAATAGTTTGGCGAATACATGACACATCCGTTGTCGTAAAATTATTATTACTTAATGTTTGAATTTCCCCTAAAATTATTTTTTGCGGTCTTTGGCAAATATCGTCTACGGCTTTGCGTTTACAAGCGCCTGCTAATTTTTGTCTCATAATTATGGGATCAGAACAAGGGCCATTACATGTATGTTATATATTAAAACTAATTTAAAATAAGGTCAGCTTTAATCAATTTAACTAAAAATTTTAAAAATACCTGTTTGATCAATAATTTCATCAAGCTCATTCACGTGAATGGTACCTTTGCATTCTTTTACAAAACAACGCCAACGTATGTTACCCGTTTGTATTGCTTTATATGCAAAACGATACTTAAAATTATTCAATAAAATCATTTGTTGGCCCCGCTTACTTCTGATATATTCAAATGACATTTTAATTAAAAAAATAAAATAAAAAAGAACGGATGGCAAAATATTTATCGATATACCGATCAGTACACTGCTATCTAACTAACAATAATAGAATAGGAAAAAGTTCGATTAAATGATAAGTAGATAATTATTATCGGGTTATTTTGGCAAATATTTTAACCAGTGGTTCTCAAGCTTCTATTTGTAGACAGGTATAAACTATCGGTTTGGCGGAAACGAAAAACCGACCTTATTCAGATTTGGCGGACACGATACGGTCAATTTTGGCGGAAACGATAATTTCCCCGAATTGTATGTCATGTCCTCTGTTTTTGGCATGTTCAGCTACTCCAGATTTTTCTATTCTTTGGTACTGCACGTCTTTTTCATGTTCTTTTTTTATTCTTGTCGCAATAGCTCTTTTTTTTAGATATATAATCATTAAAATTAATTAAATGCTAAATATTTCCATTGTAGAATCTTTTTAAACACCAAAAAATAATAAGAAATGATTACTATTTTTCTTAAATAAAAATAGTATCTATTACGATCTATTACGATAAAAATGTCAAAAAAATCAAACTTTTCTGATAAATATACTGTAAATAGTAATTATAAAATTTCCTGATTGCATATCAATCTTAAAAATTTCATTTTTTTCTATTTAATAATGTCAATGTCAAATTTGCAGAGCTAAATGTTATGGTAATAAATTCATTTTTTTTTTTATTAAAACTTTTACTTTAAAGGACAAAAAAAGTAGGTTCAAAATGATTACTTTTAACATATTAAAAATCAAAATCAATAATAATTTGAAAACAATTAATTTTAAAAATTATGTAATATATAATTAAAAGAATTACTAATCTGGGTATAATTAAGGAAATTGTGTCAATTAGGAAATCTTACTAAAACTTGTGGGCCTTATTTCCTCTATTTCCGATTATAGCTACTTCTACGAATAATTGATTTGTTTAATAAATTGATTTAATTAAAATGATTTTAATTCAAAATTATATTTTAGGTAAATATGTTTGTCTAAAAGGCAAGTGTAAGGGTCAAACCTTTCTTTTGTTATTTATTACTGTCCATTCGATCTACCGTTCGCTAACGGATGGTTCCTATCATCCGTCGTGAACGAACGTTTTTTATTGTTCTAAACGGTCGTCCGTTCNAAAAATGCCTTTTATTGAAAAAATCACTTGAAAACCTCTAATATGAGTTTTTTTTATCGTTTTATAGAATATTCTTCGAAAATTCGATGTCAAAACCTTAAAATACTGTGCGCCTCGATTAAAATTTTTCCAAATAATTTTAAATTTTCAGAATATTATTTTTTTATACTAAAATTCGAAAAAATAAGGACCACCCTAATGTATATTAACTCAATAATTTGAAACTTTAAATTTTTAAATCTAATAAACAAATAAAGGTATATTAAAAATTCAAATGACATTTACTATTAAATTAAAAACTCAAACATTTTATTAAATTCAAAATATGTGTTCTCATTTAAAAAAACAAAGTTGACACCCTTATCAGGCATAAGGGATGAACTTAAAAAGTATTACATAGTTAATAATCCAAGAATAATGAGTAACTAAGGATAATCGAAAATAAAAATGTTTAATTTATTATTATTCTGTAAGTAATTGAGTGGGTTATGATAAAAAAAACATCCAGTATACAATGTATTTTATGGTTGCATTTTTCATGTAAATTTTATTAAATAATGTGATTTTTGTTTTTATTACTCAATTATTTCAAAAAAGGTCTCGCTGCATTTAATGAGATAGTAAACAAATATTATGTATCACTGATGCGCTGTAAGTTGCCTTGAAATAATTTGGAAACGCATTTTATAAATGAATATAAAAAAATAAATGTGAAAATATGATAACATAAATATACATAACAATTTTTAATAATAAAATTTAATGATCAACTAGTGATTGATATAGTTTATATTATATTACACATAGATAATAGTACTTTTTAAAATAATTTTTAATATTTAACTAAAAATTTTTATTTCTAACTTTCAATCATTTTTTTAAACTAATTTATGTTTTGTATAACAACATAATTAATTGTAATAATATTTATTATAATAAATATATTTTTATTAATAAAAATATATATTAAATATTTTTTTTATGTTCCTAATTCAATTAGGAAATCTTACTCAAACTGGGAGGCCTTAGTTTCTCTATTTCCGATTATAGCTACTTCTACGAATAATTGATTTGTTTAATAAATTGATTTAATTAAAATGATTTTAATTCAAAATTATATTTTAGGTAAATATGTTTGTCTAAAAGGCAAGTGTAAGGGTCAAACCTTTCTANGAATCCGTTCGACGAACGGACGATTCAAAAATAGACCCCCTGAGCATAACTATTTTTCTATATTGCTGGGATGTTGATCTAACCCATAACTCCCAATCAGGAGGACCAGACTATTCCAATAAATTAAGATCAGGGTATGGTAACTAAAATGCAACTTAGTGCATTGGGTGATAGGAGTGCCACCTACCCTTGCCACATTTCAAGAAACCTAATTAATATAATTCGGTAGGAAGTGCGCACATTGGATCAACAGATCTAGATGCATGAGCAGTTTTTGACAATTATAACAAATAGAAATAAAACTGTATGTAAATAATTTATATGAATTTCATATAGTCTGTGACAATACGTTTAACATTTCACATAGAATGAAAAATATATTATGATTTTAATATTATAGATAACTCAATATACTGTACTAAAAATAACAATCAGTTAATAATTACTATTTGGTAATTTATAATTTATAAATTTATTTCGTATAAATAATATTTTTAATCTTATTTTATGTCTAATATTTTAATTATTTCTATTAAAATTTATAATTAATTACAAATGATGTTATCCTATAAAATTTTTAAAGATCAAAAAATTTACATTCCGACCAACTTGGGAAACTTTATTTTCCATAACGTGAAAGATAAGTTATTATTATAATTATTATTATTATTATTATTACCTATTTAAAAATTGAGCAATAATTAATTTTTTATGAGTACAATGCATACTTTTATGTATACTGTACATAAAAAAGATAAGTTAAAAAAAATGTATTACGTATGCTATGACGTTATTGATTAAAAAAATTGTTTTATTTTTAACATAAAAAGTAAACAAAATTAAATTTTTGTAGTTTAAATACCAGTGTTAATAAAGAATTTATTATAAATTTTTATAAAAAAAATTTTGTAATTAAATTTGTTATTATAACTTTTTTTTGGTTACACTAAAGGACTTGAAAATGAATTCAGCAAAATTATTCAATACATTAACTATTCTTTTTGCAATATTTTTTCAACTTTTATCAGGTAATAAATATTTAACACATATTTACCTTATTTAAAGAATAAAAAACAATTTTTCATAGTTATAATTATGTTTAATTAATATTAATATGTTTTTTTCGTTCATTTGATTTATTGTACTCTTGAAAAAAATGAATTCGTTAAATTAAAAACTGCATACTATTATAATTCCACCTTGTAATTTTATGATTTACTCATTTCATTATAGGCAGATATATGACAAATTTTGAGGGGGTTATAATTTTTAAAATAACTATAGCAAATAGATATACAGAGTAAATTTATTTACCACGAAACACTTAATTAATCAAAAAATAATATTATTAGAATTTAATGTATATTATTTGGTTTATTTTAGTTACATACTCTAAAATATTTTTTAATTTTATGTTCATCTTTTATACCTTATATGTGCGTCAATTTTTTGTTTTAATGGTAAAATTCATAACATCAAGTTAATTTAATTACTAATTAATCATTAAGTTCTTTTTAATCAAAATTAATAATGTATTTAACATCCTAAGAACATAAATCGAATAGTTTTTGAATGACTATCAAATAGTTCGAATAGTGGACAACTATCGAATAGTTTGATAGTTACTATTCGATATTTCCCATCACTAATATATACTACTAATTTGTACAAATTATGTTGTCATAACAATTAATATTACTGAATTATTAGTTTTAATAATATATCATTGTTAGTTAGTTAAATTAAAAGGAAATTCGTATATTTTTGTTTAAATTCGATGTGCATTTAGTGTTATGTATCAGTGTAAAACTATCATCAATAATTGCTATTAATATTACCAAAACATATTTTTATCTAATATTTAATTATACATTTATAAAATTTTGAAAAGTCAATTTTAATTTTAAGATTTTCTTGATTTAGAAAAAAATATTAGTTGTTAATACAAAACCGGGCATGTTGCGATGTAGTGGATAGTTTGGTAATTTTTTTTTCTCGTTGAGAATGGACTAGAACTATTTTTTAGCATATTATATTATCAAAAAAATAATGAATTTTATCAATATAAAATAATTTATTTCTTTTGTTATTTATAATTAAATTACCATTATTAGTAAAATATTTTAATGTTCATGGTATTTAAAGATATTATTACCCACATAGCAATGAAATATTTCTAGAATATTCCTAGAATACTTATTTTTGATATTAAAATATTTCTAGAATATAACCNTAAAGGACTTGAAAATGAATTCAGCAAAATTATTCAATACATTAACTATTCTTTTTGCAATATTTTTTCAACTTTTATCAGGTAATAAATATTTAACACATATTTACCTTATTTAAAGAATAAAAAACAATTTTTCATAGTTATAATTATGTTTAATTAATATTAATATGTTTTTTTCGTTCATTTGATTTATTGTACTCTTGAAAAAAATGAATTCGTTAAATTAAAAACTGCATACTATTATAATTCCACCTTGTAATTTTATGATTTACTCATTTCATTATAGGCAGATATATGACAAATTTTGAGGGGGTTATAATTTTTAAAATAACTATAGCAAATAGATATACAGAGTAAATTTATTTACCACGAAACACTTAATTAATCAAAAAATAATATTATTAGAATTTAATGTATATTATTTGGTTTATTTTAGTTACATACTCTAAAATATTTTTTAATTTTATGTTCATCTTTTATACCTTATATGTGCGTCAATTTTTTGTTTTAATGGTAAAATTCATAACATCAAGTTAATTTAATTACTAATTAATCATTAAGTTCTTTTTAATCAAAATTAATAATGTATTTAACATCCTAAGAACATAAATCGAATAGTTTTTGAATGACTATCAAATAGTTCGAATAGTGGACAACTATCGAATAGTTTGATAGTTACTATTCGATATTTCCCATCACTAATATATACTACTAATTTGTACAAATTATGTTGTCATAACAATTAATATTACTGAATTATTAGTTTTAATAATATATCATTGTTAGTTAGTTAAATTAAAAGGAAATTCGTATATTTTTGTTTAAATTCGATGTGCATTTAGTGTTATGTATCAGTGTAAAACTATCATCAATAATTGCTATTAATATTACCAAAACATATTTTTATCTAATATTTAATTATACATTTATAAAATTTTGAAAAGTCAATTTTAATTTTAAGATTTTCTTGATTTAGAAAAAAATATTAGTTGTTAATACAAAACCGGGCATGTTGCGATGTAGTGGATAGTTTGGTAATTTTTTTTTCTCGTTGAGAATGGACTAGAACTATTTTTTAGCATATTATATTATCAAAAAAATAATGAATTTTATCAATATAAAATAATTTATTTCTTTTGTTATTTATAATTAAATTACCATTATTAGTAAAATATTTTAATGTTCATGGTATTTAAAGATATTATTACCCACATAGCAATGAAATATTTCTAGAATATTCCTAGAATACTTATTTTTGATATTAAAATATTTCTAGAATATAACCAGAATATATTGAAATATTCTCACAATGTTCTCAGAATATACTTTGGCAGCGAATATTACATTCTCACAATATTTTAAAGGTATATTTCTAAAATGTTATAAAAAATATATTGTGACAATATTTTTAAAATGTTTTATAAATATATTAAAAAAATGCAAAAAAATAAATCGCTACGCGGGATTTGTTGAACTCTGTACTTCTAGCGCTTCGGACTCGTACGTGACCCACTGACCCACAGGTTGCTTCGAAAGAAATAGGATAAAAAAGATTATTTAAGGTAATTCAAATGGTTATTTGTCTGTTAAGTAATTCTTCTTGTTTAAAAAAATTCAAAGTAAATACAATTTTATATTCAATTTAGATTAGATTCATATAATTTTTTTGAAAATCGGCGATCCAATCACCATGATTTCTCCTTGTAAGTTAGAAACTGACTATTATTGTTGATAATATAGAAATATATTCTAACTATAATAAAAAAACTTTTTAGGATTTTTAGTTTCACAGGACAATAATAAGATATAATTGCGTTGATAAAACTAAAAAAATTTTAACTCGATAGGCCTGCAAATAATAGCAACAAGGGTTTTTTACTGTCCCTAACTTACTTAGCTTAATTGAATTAAGTTAATTAAAATTGATACTAATTAGAGAAAATGGCTGTTTACTTATTAAAGATTTAGGAATATGTATATATAATACATAAGTATTATATAACAAGATACCAATATCATCCAAAGATGTAACTAAAGGGAGAAAAGAGGATGGCTTGTGTCTCTTAAGTTACCTCAGTTGGCCAACAAGATATATATTTATAATATTTAAAAAATTATATTGATAATATATTCAACAAATATTTCAAGTTAAATATTCTATATTTATTTTAATTAATATATTTTCATAATATTTATAAGCAAATATTTAAAAAGATATTTTTTAAGCACATTGTAGAAATATTTTCGGTGTAATATACTGTATTTATTCTCTTTAATATATTATCAAAATATACATAAACAAATATTTAAAAAATTATATTGTGAGCATATTATGAAAATATTTCAATAGAATATATTTTTTATTATGTTTAAGAGATATTGTCACAATATTTTATTCAAAATATTTTAAAAAGTATTTTGTAAGAATATTTTGACAATATTAATATATTGAAATTGCTATGTGGGTACTGTTATAGTAATAATAGCAGTAATTACAGACAAATATCGGAAGTTTAGCCCCTAAATTATAGGAGCTCTTTTTTAACATTATAAATAATATAATTGAATTTATATTATATATATTTATGGTTAAATAATTGTATTTGTCTAATCTTTTCATTAAATGTTCACTTATAATTTACTTTTTTTATTAATAAATTTATTAAAAATTGATCAGTCAAAAAATGTTTTTGTTAATAATTTATTTATCACGTCATATTTTTTATAATTAATAATTAGCTATTAATAAGATAAAAATTATTTTGATCTGGCATCATTTGCCAGATCAAATTATTTATATATTCAAATTAATTATTTATTATATCTTAAACCTTTGATTATTGATATGCAGAGTTAAAGGCAAAAAAATAGATAAATTGTTATAAATCAAATGTAAAGTACATACTAATTTATAACTTAGACACTTTGACTTTTTTGACAGATAAAGACCATACATAAAGTATGGTAGTTTATTAGAAGGGCCGTGCTAAAAAACGCCAAAAAAATATAAATGTAGTTTTTTGTTTGGCGTAAGAAATATTTAATTTTAAAATAATTTTTTATATCAATCTATGTTATTGATTTTGTAAATACAAGATATTTTATACCCACTCTTTAAACTTAAATTTAAAGTGTAGACAAATGGTATTACACCGACTCAAATACACTAATTGGTCGGGGCACTCAGTATTTTCTCCTAAGTGGACACGACTGGGGATTTAAAATGACAACTTTTTCACAAATAATTAACTTTTTCAGCTTAACTTTTGAAAATGTTCTGGAAGGTCTGACACTTTTATATATATCTTAAATTGAAGCTTATGTAATATACTTTAATTTGAAAAAAAAAAAATTCGACCTCTGGACTTCGTGGTGATAATGGCTACCAAAAGCTACTTTTGTGTGAAAATTCTCGATTTTATAATTTACATTTTTAACTTTATTATGCTATAACTTTTTGAAAAATGTGTAGATCAATACAATTTTTTCATGAGAAGTAGTATTTATATACATCTTTTAGAACTGTTATTAGATATTTGAACTATAACTTATTATTAATTTTACTATTAAATGGAGAATGGTTTAAATAAAATTTCGATAGGTCAATAATCAATGTTGTATAAATACTTTTTGAGTTTAGTTATAGGTGAGCAGGGTTCAGAACGTCTGTACATTATAGTGAGAATAGAACATAAACACTACTTCGATCCCTCACCTTTTCTAAATCTATAAATGTAAATACCTCCAAAAGTAAAAATTGTTATCGAAAATTCAAAAATTTATTTAATTCTCCATTTAAAATAGTAAAAATAGTAATATAAGTAATAT